GTAGAAGAATTGACTTGGTTTTTAAAGAGAGTAGCCAGGCCTGGGTTAGAGGTATTTGAAGGTGTTACAGAGGTAATCAGAGAAGTCTTCTGTGGGAGAGGAGGCTAATCAGTGGGGTTCTTGAGCTTGGAAAGACAGTGGGAGAAAGTGTGCCCCACTCTACAGATTTCTCTTGGGTCCCAGCACAACTACAGAGTAGGAAGTGAAAAGAGGGTTTTTTTGATGCTGGATTAATAGGCATCTTATTGCCACAGGCTATCATGGAGATTAATGTATAGCTTTCAAAAAGGATTGTTGAAATTAAAATATCATAGCTTTACTGAGCCCAGTATTTTGTGCCTAAAATTTTTATTAATAACTTTTGGAGGTAGGAAGGCTATGGAAGTGGAAGAAGAGCTAATAAAGATGTTGTTTTCTAAATATCCACTGCTGTCAAATGTTGGAAACAGTATTCTGGACAAGGTAGACTTTTGGTCTGATTAAATAAGGAGTTACTTTTAAAAGTCCTCTCTTATATTCCATGGAAAGATTGGTTAGATGATGACAGCAACCCCTTCTGGCCTTAAAATTAGTAACAAAACCCCAGCATCATGTGCTTTGCTGTCTGTAATAATAAATTAACTGTGGATCTCTTGGTCTTTTTATTGTAATGTCTGCTGTTACTGGTTGGAATGGGGATTGACAAATAGACATACAGAAATAAAAAATAAATATTAATACTCTTCAGGTTGCAAAGCAGTGAAGTTGTTAAGATTGTACATTAAAGCAGCAGAACATTACTATGGTGGGTTACTATGTTCTGTATGTATGTTGAATCAGTAGAGCATGTAAAGCATTTTTTGAAGAACTTAACTTCTAGTCATAAAAGTACTTCTTAAGCTAACAGCTTTCTTCTGCTCAGTAGGATGTGATTTGTTTGAAGCGTATGTCGACCTGGAACCAACAAGGAGATGACTAAGTAGGAGGAAAATGGTTTTAACATGCCTCTGCTTTGCCAAGGAATATGGAAACAATAACAGATTTGTCAAGTCTGTGGGTCAGCTAGCCTTGTAGTGATATATGATATTTCTCTATGCATGACATACTTGGTGTATTGGATTGTTTTTTTCTAAAGTGCCATTTAGGAGCTGAAATGTGAATCTTTCTTTGTCCAAGTTGCTGTTTATCTGCTGTACAAATGAAGCTTTCTAAGTGCTGAATTGTTTGAGGCTTTTAGATACCTCCTCAGCTTTCTCTTAGTATAGGAATAAAGGACACCAGCCGTACTCATTTTAACCCCGTACCCTTTTATGTGTCTCACTTTTGTTTCAGACTTTTTCCTGTGGGTCTCAAGTTTTTCATGGGTATGCTGCTGTCCCTGAGGTGCAGAGCTTATGGAGGAGGTATTACATTAAACCTGTTTGTGCTCATTGCCTCCTGCTCTGTTTAGGAGGAAGGGGAGACATCTGGGCTCTGTGGCATGGGGGCAGGGGGGTCCTTTCCAGGCCCGCATCTCTCTGGTTCTACTCCCTGGGCTTCCCTGGTAAAACCTCTCTGGGACCCGAGTGGTTGCAGTCTCTCTTCTAAGTTTCAAAATGACTTACAGTTGCCATCTGCTCATTTTGGAGCAAAGCTACTGGTTCGCTATGAATTGAAATGCAATGAATTCATAGAATCAAAGAATAGTTTGGGTTGGAAGGGACCTTAAAGATTATCCATTCAAAACCCCCTGCAATGGGCAGGGACACCTTCCACCGCTAGACCAGGTTGCTCCAAGCCCCATCCAACCTGGCCTTGAACACTTCCAGGGATTGGGATATCCACAACTTCTCTGGGCAATCTGTTCCAGTGTCTCACCAACCTCATTATAAAAAATGTCTTCCTGATGTCCAATCTAAACCTACAATTTTTCAGTTGAAAACCTTTGGCCTTTCACTTACAGGACTTGGTAAAAAGTCTCTCTCTCTCTCTTTCTTACAAGTCTCCTTTAAGTATTGAAAGCCACAGTTATGTCTCCCTGGATCCTTATCTTCTCCAGGCTGAACAACCCAAACTGTCTCAGCCTTTCTTTGTAGGAGAGGTGCTCCAAACCTCTGACCATTTTTGTTACCCTTCTCTGGACCTGCTCCAACATGTCTTTCTTGTGCTGGGGGCCAGAGCTGGATGCTGCACCCCAGGTGAGGTCTCACCAGCGTGGAGTAGAAGGGGATGTTAATGTAAAAGAAAATGTTAGAATTTATGGCATGGCTAGTAAGTAGTTACTGTGAACAGTAAAAAATGGTGGATTGGCTTTTTGACAACGCAAATTTCTGCCAGGTGGAAGGCTGCATGGCCTTTTTCGTGCTGTTGTTTACTTTTTCCTTTCTTGTAAGTTGAAACTCTAAGCTAAATTTTTCTCTGGCATTGTCAGTTTGAGCACAGAGATCTTTGGAGAAGCTAATTCCTTTGGCTTCTCCATACTGCATCACCCAAAATATTGTCTATCTTTGAGTGGCATATGCTGTTTGTTTATCGTTACTCCAAACATTTGTACTGGATTGTATTTCCACCTCTGTCTTCTTATGAAGGAATTCCAGCTGAACAGTTAACATTTCCCTTAAGTTGAGCTTGTGTTTTTCTGGATACTGAATTAGAGACCCCTTACAGTTTATTAATTTTGCTTTTAGCATTATGTAACCTGTACAAGATGGTAAATACATATTAAAAGTTTGAGTAGCATGTTCCCTTATTGCTCATTTATAGTCCTTGACCTGCTTCAAAATTCTCATAAGCAGTGCAAGTTGGCCAAAATACATGATTCACCTTAATTAAATCTCTTAAGTACAGTCTTAATTTTATCCCTCCTCTTGAAGTTGGTGCGAGATTAGTAATAAAAGAAAATTGGTTAGTTGATAGCATCATGTATTCCATCAGTGCAGAAACAGGGTAAGTGCCTCAGGTATGTGGTGAACTCTTCATTCCTGTGTGATCATTCAACATATTAAATGTTGACAACATCATTTGAACGCTTATCCTGACAGGATAATCTTAGAATTTCAGAATTAACAAGCTGAGGAAGCACTATAATATGTAACATACACATTTTAAAAAAGTCTTACTTCCTCAATTGGTTTTGCACCCATTAAAGCTTTGCACTTTAGTGGAGAGTAGGTTTGAAGGATTTGCTGTTGCTGGACTCAAGGTTTTGTTTAAGATGATCCTTTCTAAAACATAAAAAGTAATTTGACTATTGCAAATATAGGGTTTTGAGACTAAATGGTTTCTTCTCCCTGACCTCTTGATTCAGGCAGCATAATTGTAGTGGGCAACAGATCAACAAAATAAAATTTTCTAATTTTTTCCTCTTAACGTGAGGAAAGAAAATCTTTTGTGGAAAGGATAATTGAGAGCATCCTGAGAGAATAAAATTTTGAGGTTGATGAAAAGTAAACCTACTTCATCATATCTCATGAAGTTGCTGTCCTAGTTTTGTTTTCATTTATGTCTGCAAATGTTTTCAAAGAGGTTTAACTTTCTCAAATTCATAAGATGCTTCTGACTTACGTCTTGGTTTCTATCTTGTTCTTGTGTTTTGGCAAGAACTCGATGTCACCAGTTGTAGCTTCCAACAGGCACAGGGGCCATCCAGAATACTTTCCATTTCCCACTGAGGTACATTCTTAGAAGAACTTTTCCAATCCAAATAACTGGCATTTATTACTTTTTAATTGCTTAGTGTGATACTTGCTTACATTTGTGGTTTTAATGTCTTTTCCTGTCTGTAAACTGAGAGTCCCAAAGGACACATGCGTGCAGTCACTGAATTCAGTTTACATAGCTCGACGGATGTTTTGGGAAGAGCAGATTGTGTTTTTGCTGTCTTAGATGGTGTCCCAACAAGAAGAAAAGTTATGTTAATGCTGAAGGAAAATGGAATGAAAATAAGAAAATTAAACAGGAAAAAAAAAAGATTGCCTTAGAATTTAGCATAGCTTTTCCAGCAGCGCTGGGGCAAGCAGGCAGCGTGGCACACATGCTTGAGTTCAGCAAAGGTTCTCAAGTTGTGCTATGCAGGCAACAAAAAATGGGCAGGAGAATTTTCTGTGCACAATTTTGCTCTTCTGGAAGTTACTAGAATCCCAATTTTAAGTCTAATACCTTTTTTTTGGTGAGCTTTTTGTGAAACCTGGTCGTGCGAGTAGGTAAGGATCTTAATTCTATATTAAAAAACAAAACAAACAAACTCACATATTGCTAGTCTTTGAAATTGTAAGGAAAAATCTTAGAAAATGAAAGAGTTCCGAAGTGTTAAAAAAGGCAAGGCATAATACAGACATTTCAGTATAAAAGACGTGTAGATGTGGTGCTTGGGGACAAGGTTTAGCACTGGACTTGGAAGAGTTAGATTAATGGTTGGACTTGATGATCCGAAAGGCCTTTTCCAGCCAAAAGGATCCTGTGATTTCACCACTAAATAATTTAACTTAGGTTGGTCATTTTTTATTTGGGTTTGTGTTGAGGCACCAGTGAATTTTTAGAGCTCTGGTTATGACAGCATGATTCTAGTGAAAATAGTTTGAGTCCCACAGCCATACAGGAATACAGATCTCAACTCCTTCCCCTTCTGGCGTACAGGAATAAAGAGGGGGTTAATTTTTCATAGTTTAGGATTGTCTGTGGAGAAGAAACAGGACTCACTTTACACAGCATATTGCTGAAAACCTAGCCAGTGTACATTACAGACCAGCATTTAGAGTCTGTGTTTTAAGTTCTGTCAAGGAGGGCTAAGCTGGATGGCAGTGTTCTTAGCTCTGCTATAAACCTTAAACATCCATAAATCTTCAATTGGTGACCTTCCCACTTTAAGTCTCCACTGCAGTGTTACATTGCTAAAATCCATCCAGTAGCCTAAGAACCTGAATTATTTTTTCATTACCTCTCATAAAGCTTTTTTTCTGGGTTTGTTCTCCTGCCTCTTGGCGTGCAGCTAAACTAGTTACATGAGCAGTCAGATTAACCCTGGTCCTTCCCTTGCCTTGTAGGACTCCTCAGTGGGCAGACATCTCCAACCAACACCAAACTGGAAAAGCTGGACCCCCAGCAAGTGCTGCAGCTGTGTCTCCGCTACCAAGATCATCTTCACCAGTGTGCAGAAGCAGTTGCCTTTGATCAGAATGCTCTCGTGAAGCGAATCAAGGAGGTACTGCCTGCCTGCTTCTGGTGGGGAAGGGCTCAGGGCATTGGCTCAGCCATCTGGTGCTAGGAATACAGGTGCTTGCCATGGGTCACTTGCAGCAGTCCGCTTCAGAGTAAACCCTTTAGAGAAGCTTTGTGGATGTGTACTTCAAGCAAAGTTTCCTGGCTTTCATTGTGGTTACTGTTAAGTGCTGTGTTTGTCAGTTATGCCCTGTGATTCCTGGCCTTAAACAGTGGCTGTTCTTCTGGTATGGTGAGTACTGTAAATAACTGTTACAAGAGTAAAAATTACTGGAATTTTTAAAGGTAACATACCTTATTTAGGCCTGTAAAAGCATAGATTTTATTATGGTTAGACTCTAAGGAAAAAAATGGTTATCTGGTTATCTTAAACAGCTTCTGTCATTGGAGTAGGTAATATTTCTTTCTTCAATAGATTTGTAGAAATAGATTCTGTTTTCAAAGTCCATAACATGCTGTCTCGTCTCTCTTCTGCACGACAAAAAGTTTTTCCTGGGCTGCTGTTTTTGCTGCTAAACCATCATCTAAAAGTCATTGATCTGCTGAAATATTCAGTGATACTGTTGGGTAGGAAGTTAATTCCTGGGGTGAGCATCCTGGGATGGATTGTCTTTCTCGTGTGTAACTACTGATGTTGGAAGCAGCAGGATGGCTGACAGATTTTTTTTTTTGTTATTGTTGTTGTTTGCTTGCTTTAAAGTCAAGGCAGACTGGGATGAGAGGAGTTTCTGTTCAAGAGTGTTTTCTTACATACTCCCAGATGTGTAGAAGAAGCAGTGAATGCTGCATTTGTTAAAAGTCTATGAGACCAAATATATTTCAGTATCAAAAGAAAAATTCTTTGAACAGGTGGTTAATTTTTATTCATAGATAATGACCTTGATTCGTTGTTGCTCTATTGGCTTAGAGTTAAAATCCCACATGACAAACTGGATAATAAATTTGATTCATGGGCTGTTTTGAGAAGCTGCTGTCATCGTGAAGTTTTAAGTCCAAAATAATGTAGGAGTCATTAAAAGGGCCTTTTTACTTTGGTGTATCAAGATCTGAGGCCAGCTATTACACAAGATATTTGCAGATGTAGGTGACTCAGTTCACACAATCTCAGAAAGGGGATTTAATTGCCAGACTAATGACAGTGTCCTGCATTAATCCAGTCCTTTTGGCTGTTAAAGTGTGAGAAGAAATATAAAGTGATTTAAAATCATGGTAGATACCACCAGTGTAATCTGCATTAGTTGGATTTGCCTTCTGTAGGGCAAGTGGCAGAGTCCCTTTCAAATTAGCTGTAGTGAGGTTTTCTTCCAGTTTGTAAGGCTTATTGTTTTTGTGTGTGTGTAACGTATATGAAACTATGATGCTGATACTGTCACTAGATTTCTTTATCACAGACTCCTCTTTGACTATGTGAAGAAGAAATGGACGAGTCTGTAACTCAGGCAACTGACAAGTCAGTTGGGTTGGTTTTTTATTTGGTCACAACACTTAAGTAACTTCAGATGCTTTCAATCCCTCTGCCAGATCTGGTGGGTTTTTACTGTTAATTTTCCTAATAATGTTTTTCTGTGTGTGTGTTCTGGAGGAGCCGGGTGGGACCCACTCAGCTTAAATCATTCTTTCCAGATTGTCTGGGCTCTCCTTGGTGCACTAAATTGAACCGCTGTTGACAGATGTTGACAACAAGGGGTGCAGCTGAACCAGAGCAGGGTATGTCTCTTGTTACAAGTGTAGACAAAGGAAATTGCATTTGGCTGCACCCATTTGTCAGCAATTATTTAGTTTTGCCATGTAGACAAAGCTTTGACCGTTGGTAAAGTGTAAAAATGAAAGAGGAAACGTGTTGTGAAAAGCATCATGTGTCCATAAGCTGGATAGTAAATTTTTATCCTCATTTTAGCATTCAGTACTTCCCTTTTCCTTTCTTTAAAATTGTAAGCATTGGAGTGTTTTTCTTCTGATAATAGACTTATCAAGTGACTGATGCTTTTAACTGCCCTACAATATGTTGGTGAGCTTCAGTCCCCAATTTCCTACCATTTGTCTGAGGTCACTTTTCAGACTGTCACTGACTGTACTCAGTGTAGTAACACTCCTGCTGTATAGCATGCTACAATCATAATGCCTGCAGCCAGGAATTTTTTTTTTTACTCTTGACAAAATGTTCCAGGGCCTTTTGCTTATTGTCTGTTTGGCCAGGAGAGGTTTCCTGGTTTCTGACAAAATTTCAAAGTCCTGTCATAAATGTATTGGTCCTCGATAACTCATAAATGACTGCAGTGGTTTATAAATTGTCACACAATCGGAATTAAAATTGTTCTTATAAGAAAGCAAATAAGCTAAGGAAAACAAAAACATTGCATGACAGTAGTTACTGCAGAGCTAAGTAGAGCCATCTGCACGTTCCCTTACTTTGGGTACCAAAACAGTCTATTTTGCTCTTCATGCCATTTCCCAGTTTAGTCAGAATTTGCAGTTTGTTGGCTAGTTCCATGTCTGCTCCTAAATATAAAACCTGTATGACTTCCAGGTTGCTGTGACTGTTCTCTCTCAAGAAGAAATACATTTTCCCATGCATTTCCTTGAGGGGGAAAGAGTTGAAGATGTGACTGAAGAATGCTGACTCAACTGTCTCTCTTCAGCAGTTATGCATAGTTGTACCCAAACTGTGGGTTTTGGAAGGGATCAACTTTTATCATAATAGGCTTTGTCTTCACTGCCAAAAGAAAAAAGATGTCCTTGCATCTTCTTAGGGAAAAATAACCAACCATGCATTAAATATTATGTTTCATATTAATTTTTGGCAGCTGACTCACCATCTGTTGCAATACTGCGTTAATTCCAGGGCCACTGAAATATTTAGGATTCCTTTTAATATTTTCTCCTTATCAGTTTGAAAAACAACAGAACAGCAGTTTGGGATTTATGTCCATGTTAATCCAGGGTTATGACATCTCACAAAATTTGACAGCTTTCAAGAAAAAAGCCTGTGTGCAGCATTTTCTGGGTAATTTGTCTACTCTTTGGTATTTTGTAGGATGAAAATTTTTGGCTTATCGGATGAGTCACCACATTATTAGCTTCTGGGGGAATTCTGTTCAGATGAGTCTGAGAACAGGATCTGGTCTGTCTACTGCTGGTATGTGGGACCCATGTAAGCTTGTTGCATACACGTGCACTAGGAAGAAGGCACATTTTTAAAACCCAGTAGATAACATGTTATAAAATGATAAGGTATAAGAGGCTAACCCAGTAGATAACATGTTATAAAATGATAAGAGGCTGTTGTAACTAGTTAACAGGTAAAACTGATCTTACCTGCACCTTGAAGCTTTTGTTACAAAATGTTTAATGATGGAAATGGAGTTGATGATGCACCTTATGGAGGATGTGATACTTGAGGCTAAAAATCAGAGGTGAACCATGACTTGCTAAGTAGGGATGAAACCATCTCAGTCTGCATATTCTTGGGCATTGTATGTAAAAGAAACAACAAACCACCACCCTAAAATAAATTAAATAAATTCTTTTGTGTTTACAAGTGTGAGGACAAAACAACTCAATTGCAGTGTTTTTCCTTTGTTTCCATGGTGGGTTTAGAATCCTAGCTGTCACCAGGAGGTCTTTACTTGTTGCATCCCATGTCTGTCTCTGCCATGCCAGTGCTGGAGATCTGCATTATAACTAGTTGGAAATTTTGAGCAACTCCAGCTGTTGTTGGGTTTATGAGAGCTGCATGTGCTCTCTTTGCCTGGAGTGGCTGCTTCAGTTTTGCCATCTATAAAATGGTGGGTTTCTGCCAAGAATGGCTTGAAGGCAAATGTTGACTAGCACTAAATGCTAGGTATGACTTGGGGGAAAGAAGGAAATGAAGCAGAGAGATGGCTACTTTACTTTAAGTCCTTATCAGAGAAGGTTATCTATTTTGGGTGACAGGGAGAGAACTTGGAGAGTCATCTGAGAGAGGATGGTGAATAGAGGAAGGAAAACAAGTAGAAGAGGCTGGGAAACAGACCTGATTTTCAGAAGGAGCTCATGATTTTGTGTAGCTCCTGAATTGTCTGGTTTCAGTACCTTTTAAAAAAAAATATTATTATTTTTTTTTCATGCACAAGGTGCTAAGCTTCCCAAAAATTGTATCTTGCAAAATACCTGAAGTTGAGTATCCAGAAATTACTAGTCACACTTGAAAATATAGGCCTGACTTCTTTTTATGAAAGCAAAAGAGAAGCTGAAGGCCATCTAGGCTCCTTTCAAAGAAGCTTTGGATGGAAAGTCTTCAGCATTTCTTACTAGACTTCCAGTCTTGGGAAAGGGGTTGTGCTACCTGCAGTATCCTGTGTACTCTTAAAGGCAAATGTAGTTCCTAGATAAAGTAGGCTTAAAATGTATTTGACAATGGATTATTGAGAGGCCTTTTATGCTTTACCCCAAAAACAAGTATTGACACAGTGTTACCTGTATTTTTTACTGCCATAGGAATCTCAAACTGATAATAATTTTGAAAACAGAACACTTCTTAATTTCATTTGGTATTGTAAAAAATATCTCAGGCAGACCTATGGGGACACTCCCCACACACACATTTCCAAATATAATAAACACTACTTTTATATTCTTAATTATTAGTGAAAGAACTTTTGTCCAAGCAGGCATTAATATCAATAATTAGGTTTTCATATAGCAAATCACAGTGTATGGCTTGTTTCATACCTGTAAATTTTTTTATGGGATAAGCTCTTTATTTTGAACAAATATTCCAGTATAAAATGTGTATGAATTTATTTTTTTTTGTTTGTGGGGTTTTGGTGGGTGTTTTTTTATTCTTTACCAGCTTGCTGCAAAAAGTAATTGTGATGAGCTTCTCTAGTATGTAGTTAAAATATCCTGAAATACATCCCTTATTGTTTGAAAAGTAAATAATTTTTGAAGCTGCACATACACCACATTGTGTCTCCCACCATATTCAGCTGTTCAAAAGTACAG